GTGATGTGATAGAGAGATGATGTAACTTAAACAAAATGATGTGAATTAAATAGAATAGTGACTTTTTAACTTTTTGACTTTTTTAAATTATGACAAATAAGATTTTACTTAGGTGGTGTTTGGCAAGTAGTTTACGGGCTAAAATAGCCACAAAAAACAAAATAGATTATTTTAACCACAACAAACAAAACATCACATGTAACCCATAATCATTACACTATTCTCTCACAAAAAAGTAAAAAAACCAAAAAAATCCTTCCCAAATCAAACTTTCTAACCCAGGCTAAAATAATAAAAAAAAAATCAAAAAGTCAAAAAAAAATCAACCCACTTCTCAAACGGAGGCTTAAGTGCTTATCTTACTATGACTATTTTTAATTACAATTAAAAAGTAAATGACAATTAAATTAAATAAATTATATTTTTCATCCTTATCATTTCACTCAGATTTAATTTTTGATAAAGCGAAGTAAATGGATAATTTGAAAAACTGCGAGACAAAAATTAACAAATTATATATTTATTATGTGTTAAAGATTTTTTTTCCCTCATTTGATTTTTGTTTTTGAGTTTTTTTGACTTTTGTGAGAGAAAAAGTATATGACTATATTTTTCTTATTAAGCCTCCGTTTGGGAAGTGGGTTGGCTTTTTAGCTTTTTGGCTTTTTTGGCTATTTTAGCCTGGGCTAAAAAGCTTGGTTTGGGAATGACTTTTTGGCTTTTTGACTTTTTTTGTGAGAGAAGAATGTAATGATTATAGGTTAGATGTGATGTTTTGTTTGTTATGGCTAAAATAGCCTATTTTGTTTTTTGTGGCTAAAATAGCCAAAAAAACCTGAAAAAGCCCTTGCCAAACACAGGTTAACTTATATAACTTATTTTGTCCTTTTATATATATTTTTTTAACCCCAAAATGTTTACCAAACACGGACTAAGGATTTGTTTGAAAATTAACTTTTTCAATAGTGTTTTGACTTTTTATTAAAAATATGCAAAAAGTAGAATGGATGAGAAAGAATCTCTCACTTTTTTTTTTTGGATATGATTTTAAAATAAAATAAAAAATAGAATTCAGTTGATTTTTTAAAAAGTAATTGCAGATTCGTGAAATTTTTTATAATTTTAATATTAATATTTATAAAATTTATCATTTTTCATTTAATATTTTTTTATTTTTTATTAGTTTATTTATTTATTTATTATTTTTAACTAAAATAATTACTTACCAAGCAAGGCATAAAGTATTGATCCCTTTCAAATTTTTAAGGGTTGGTTTGGGAGATGGGTTGGCTTTTTGACTTTTTAATTTTTTTTTGTTATTTTAGTCTGGGCTAAAAAGTCTAGTTTGGGAAGTACTTTTTGACTTTTTAAACTTTTTTTGTGAAAGAAGAGTATAATGATTGGGGGTTGGATGTGATGTTTTGTTTTTTATAACTAAAATAACTTATTTTATCTTTTGTGATTAAAATAACCAAATTAGCCCTTCTGAAACGGATTAGTTGGGTAAAAAAGAAAATGAAAGGGGGGATGTGGGAAGTACTGGTGGATAGGGGTGAGCAGCGGATATATCGATCCGCCAAAACCGACCGAACCGAACCGATCCGCCGCATTTTGGACGGATGCGTGATGATGAGCGGACGGTTGCGGATTGATTTTCTCCAATCCGCCAATTTGGCGGACGGATGGCGGATTTAAGATTTTTTGGCCGCAACCGAACCGCCAAACCGCCAAATCGCGAGCACCTGTAGTAATTTATAAGACTTTGTATTTTCAATTTGTTTAAATATTATGTTTGTGTTTTCAATTGAAAAAGAGTTTAAATATTCTGTTGAAAAAAAGTTTTCAACTTGAGTATATTTTTGAATTGAAAAAAATAAACATATTATTCATCTATATTTTTTAGTTTTAAATCTAACTCTAAAAATAATAAATAAAAAATATGATATATGCTGGTTGGTTTTTGTTTTCAAAAACATATGTAGATGTAACAATATAGAGACATTCAATCTCTATTACTGCTCTGTTTATGGTTTTAGTGGTTTGAATTGTTATTATATTTTAAGAATCACAGATTGTAATACTTTATAGGGATGAATCATGCTGTAATTGTAATATGTGGATGAAGCATACAGTGATCGTGATATTCTAAAGTTTCAAACTTTCTTTCTTTGGATAAGGCATACAGTGATTGTAATACTTTTTTAAGTCATTGACTGTAATACTTTTTTTTTTCTTTTTTTTTTTTAAGGAAGTGCACAAGTTGAATTATGTTTAAAATTTATAAAATTTTAAACCGCCAAACCGATTCGCATTCATCCGCCAAACCGCCAATCCGCTCAATCCACATCCGCCGGATTGACGGACGGATGCGGATTGATTTTCTTCAATCCGCCAATCTGGCGGACGGATGGCGGATTGGAGGTTTCGTGGCCGCAACCGACCCGCGCCCACCCCTACTGGTGGATAGTATTATGCATAGGATAAATTACACGGACACTCTTTAAGGTTTTGTTTAATTATATTTTATTTTTTAATCAATAATTTCACTTCATAAATCCCTTATTCATATAAAATAATAATAATTTCTTATAAAAAAATAAAAGAAATTACATTGAAAAAAAATAAAACAAAGGAAATGAAAAGAAAAATAGAGGAAGTAAAGCAAAATAAGAAAAAAGAAAGTGCATGAGTTTAATGTTTTTATTCTGTCTAAATAATTACAATAATAAGGGGTTAGTGTAATTTTCCAAATGTCAGTAAGTGATATGTACTAAACTTAAATCTCAGAAAGTGTAAGTATATCTTACCCTTATGCATTTCATATACAAATCAAAGTCTACCGTCTTGTTTGGTTTGTGTTTTAAAATATTATTTTAAAACTAATTTTTTTGATAAAGTTTAAAAAATTTAAAAATTTGTTTGGTTGTATATTTTGAAAATAATTTTAGAATTTTGAAATTTGGAATGATTTGATATTTTTTATAGTTGGATAGATGGATGTGAGAGAAAAAGTGATTGAAGATGAGAGAAGAGAGAAAATGATCGATTGATGTATAATAGAGAGAGAAGTGATATTAATTTTCTTTTTAAAAAAATTTTCAATTAAATATATTTTTGAAATTTTTTCTCTAAAAATATGTTTTGAGAGACAAACCAAACATATTCCGTAAATCTGGAGTGAGTTGTACTCCATTTGGGATTTAAAAAAGGAAAATGTCTCGTAGCTTAAATTTTGTGGCTCAAAAGTGACTTAAATGGCCAAAACGACCGTTTTGGCCATTTTTATGTTGTTCTGTGCTCAAAACGACGTCGTTTTGGCTATTTGAGTTACTTTTGTGCCACAAAATTTGAGTTACGTAGCATTGTCGTTTAAAAAAATGGTATGAAGAGCCCACCCCACGCCAACATGCTCTGAGAAAGTGAAGCATAGAATTAGAAAGCACTGCCCATGATTGTATCTATCTAAACAATGCTGGCCACAGCTATTTGCCCATAACTCTGGATGGCCATTTGGGTTCTTCCCTATTACTAGTATTCTCTCTCCATGATTCCAATAGGGCCCTAGTTCAAACTCCATTGCACAATTATTCAAAACTCCTCTGTTCATTGCACTTAACAATGGCATATCTAGATCCATTAGATGTTAGTTTGATGAGTCAATTCAACATGTGGTTCAGAGCGACATGATGTGCTGGTGTCTTGTATTTTAGTGTATACTTGTGGGCCTCGGGTTGGACTTGGCCCAAATTTGGGCTTTAATTCTGATTTTTTTTTTATTAAATTAAAAATTCACTAAAAAAGATAAAAAAATTTAAAGTGTTCCTCAACAACTAGAGTCACAAATGAGATTTACCCATATTCTTTGTGGAGAATTGGTGGTATATATATATTATTATTTTTTTTAGTAGAATTTTCTGAGTGTTACATAATGAAAGTGAATTGTGGAGTGTGGTCGTAGACTATGGTGAGCCACCTACAGGCTTTTCATCATCATGTGAATTGTGGAGAGAGTGAGAGTCTTCTTGTGGTCTATGGCGAGCCACCTACAAGCTTTCCTCATCATGTGAATTGTGGAGAGACCGAGAGTCTTCTTGTGGCCCGAGACTATGGTAAACTACGTACAAGCTTTCCTCATCCTTTGGCCGAAGTAGGCAGTCCCAGAGCGACTAGAATGTGGTCTTTGGGTATTAATGAGAGATGACCAAATCACAATACAAGATCTTGTGTACCAAATTATTGTTTTCATGTTCTCAACATATTTTCAACCACACGATCACTCCTCAAGATTCTTGTATTTTGAAACTTCTACCATATTATATGACTAGCATATATCCGTGCTTGAAAGCACAATGTAATATTATATGACTAGCGTATATCCGTGCTTGAAAGCACAATGTAAATAATGTTGGGATTAGAATATAATTGTGATTCTAATACTATTTAATAGATTATCAATTATCAATTATTAATTTAATATAATTGTAGTCCCAACCCTTCTTGTCTTAAAAATAAAATGGCAAGAAAATTATGCCTTCCATCTGAAAATCCTTGTTTCTATACCAAGAAAATGGCATAGGCAAATAACCATTGTTGAGCTTTGGTGACCCACCATAAAACAAACTCAAAAACATTTATCTAAGTTCATAAAAGCTGTGGAAGTTTCCAATCAAATGACGGGATTTAAAATTAAACTTTATAAGAACATAGGCGAGTTTTCAAATGAAATTCAATTAACGCCCAAATAGTTTTATTTTAGTTTAATTACGTGTTTATGCGATCTTTAAGTTGCTGTTATGTTATTTCATTTACAGTCAACAATAAAGCAAAAAATTTTGCGAGCAAGTAAAGAACAAAGTTTTCTAACAATCAAAGCAAATACAAACTCAATGTTTGAACTTTCAAGGAAAGAGAAAAAAAGAAGCTTGAAAACAAAAACTTATTTAGTAAATTTTTGACAAATTTTCTACAGACTTAAAAGGTTAGAAATAAAACGCCCACTGTTTAATTGAGATTGAGATGGGCTCAACTCCAAAATACATTATTATTAACTCCAAAATTGGACATATCTCTATAAAGTTACATGTTAAATAGAAGGCTGACTATTGCAAAAGGGAAGCACTGTGTGCTGTACATGAAATCTTAAAAATAATACAAAATATTATCAACCAACAAATCCAAACAACAAATCCTTCAAGATTCAGAATTCAAACAATAAATCCAAACAACATAATTAACCAACAACAACGATCAAGAGCAGAGAAAGGGAAATTGAATAGACAATGTAAAATATCTCTATTTTGGTGTTGAACGATGGGTCTTGAAGCCACTGTTGGAAAATTAAAAAAATTAAAAAAAAAATTAAGTTGTTGACATAGAATGGCAAAGTTAAAGGAGTCTCAAGAAGGTCTATTAGTGTGTCCCCAATCTGGGAGTTTTTTGTATTATATATAGGACAATCAGTAGTGATGGGTCATCACTCATGTCTATCTATGTTGGGATGTTGGGATAGTAAACCCCAATGACAACATTTTGAGATTAATGTTGGGATGACAATTGCTATAAAATTGATGCAGGGATTACTCCCAAGATTAATCCCAATATCTCCAAACATTTTGTCCCAAGATTAAAGTTGGGATGACAGTGTATACCTGTAATAAAATTGGACAGGAGAAGATTGGACAGAAGAAGATTAATCCCAGGATTATTTCTCCTTTATTTTGTACTTTTTTTAAGAAGCCATCAAATACATTAACTAAGACAATTTTAAAAATGAAATTGTTGCCCTAAAAATTGGCCAAAGTTAAAGGGATTTGAAAGTCGTTCAATAGCCATTCTAATATCGATACCTGAAATTAAAAAAAATAAACATTAAATTTGAAAAATAATAATAAAGTTAGATTATATGGATTAAAGTAAAAATGTCTAATGTTCAGTATTTTCAAATCAACATCACATAGTATGTAATAAACTTTCTAACTGCTTAAAAGCATCTATCATTTATCAAACATCACTTGCCATCACACACAGTTCAACTCGCTTTCTTCACATATTTCCTTAACTAGTTTTACTACATTTATTATGTACTTGACAAAAAATGAAAACACTTGTTTTCCTTTACTAACTAAACCAGGTAAGAAGAACAATGAGACAACAAAAACTCTACACCACGATTTTGTTGTCCTCATATTCCAAGAGGTTAAAAAAGAGAAGACAGAAATAGAGAGGAAAACAGAACCTACAACTTTAGTTTGCTCTTAAATAAAATGTAAATTTATAAATCCTGAAAAATCAATTTAAAAGACAATTAGACATCAATTTTTATTTTGACAATGGGGGATTCCAAAACTAAGCACAAAGTTATTCCCAAAGGTGCTGTTTGGTAACACTTACATTTTCAGTTTTCTGTTTATATTTACAAAAAATTAAAAAACTCAAATAAAAACTTATTTGGTAAGATTTTTGATTTATAAATCAGTGGTCTCAGTTTATAAATTTGGCCAAAAAATGAAAACATAAAAAATGTGTTTTCGTTTTGAGTTTTGAGTTTTTTTTTTTATCACCCAACATTAGCCACCACCCGCCACCATTTTTCACTACCGTCTTCTGCTACCACCACCCACCACCCACCTTCCACCACCACCTGCCACCACCACTCACCACCCACCTGCTACCACCAGCCACCACCCGCCACCACTAGCCACCAGCTACCTGCCACCCACTCGCCACCACCACTACCCATAGCCGCCCCAACCACCACAACCAC